CGAGTTTTCAGTTCTTCTATGCACATTTCAGTTTTTCAATTTTCGAAATTTAGTAAATTTCTAATTTTTTTTTTTAATTTTTCGATTTTCCATTTTTTCCATGTTTCGATTTTTCAATTATACGGTTGTTCAATTTCTCGATTTCTAAATTTTAGATTTTCCCATTTTTATTTTTTTTTTTCTTTTTTCATGTAAATAACTACCAAAATTGTGACTAAAAATATGTAAAAATTAGGTATGTACCGACTAGGGCCAACTGGTCGGATAAGCCGACTATTCGGCCGTTTTTCATCGTCGGCTGGCAATCGGCGACTAGTCGGCTTTTTCTATTATAATTAAAATAGTATATAAAACAATTAAACCCGGTTTACAGAGCCTCAATTAAATATTTAATTGCGATTTAATTTTTAACCCCGCGTTAAAGTACCACGTGACCGACTCCACGCCAATCAGATGTCGCTAATGGCCTTATTAAATGCGCGATCAACTTAAATCTCAGTTAAAATGTTGTATAAACTGGCCATAAATTGTGTTATTCTTTATTTTTGTACTGAGTTACTAAAAAAAAATTAAATGTTAAAATTATCCAAACAAATTTAACACATTTTTTGGAAAACGAAGGAACTTTAGTTATTCCTTTTATTAAAATAAAACAAATTTTTAATATAGTCAGAGAAATAGAAAAAAAACACACTGTCTGTCGCATTTATAAACCGGTTTTAGCAAAGCCGAACAGTCGGCCGACTAGTCGGTTTTTACTGGCCGAATAATCGGCTAGTCGGATAGTCGGCCAGACCTACAGTCGGTACATCTCTAGTAAAAATTAATAGAAAATAGAACACATTGCTGCTAAAACATAAAAATAACTGTACTTTCCCAAAAACATCTATTGCATGATTACTGTTCCACTAGTATTGCTAATTTAGGACGTTAGTATCAAACGCAATGAAAGAATTAATTCTTAGTTAAACAAAAAAATAGTTGCATGTCAAAATCGAGTGAAATATGTGAGATGTGTGTCAACAAAAGCATCTAAATAATAACTATTTCCCGCAGAATTTCTGGAGGCTTATAGAGTCGACATTGGCCTGAACGCGCTCCGGTCTGTGGATCATACAAGTTCTCGGGCGACGATGTATCTAACGAGGTAGTTGAAATACCTGATATGTTACAGCGCAAAAAGTATTTCTCAAAAAACTTTCAAACGTCGGTATCTTTTTAATCGAACAAAACACAATTGGCGAACGCAATAATCCAGAATGGTGCGCAGAAAAATCCTTTAGACTAACCGAACGTTATTTTGGTAAAATTTGCAAAATGAGAGAACAAGTAACACGGCTAATCTTACTGTACTGTGAAAAACATTTTACATCCCTGCAAATCTAGTTCAGCATGTAGGTACTCTCCCAAAATATTTGCATAGAAAATGAAGCAAGTGCAACTGAAGCATTTTGCAGTAACACCAAACTGACAATAAGACAATGCGGTTTGTATATTTTTAGCGGCATTGTCAGACGGCTTAATAAACAAAAACGCTATCGTGGAAATATATAAAATATCCAATTTAAACAATCCTTAATTCAACGAGATGATAAATTTTGCGGAAATAATATGATAGAGCCCTAGAAAAATTTTATTTATATGCCTTACTTCCGGAGAGAGTAGATTCTCGTTATTAAACAAGTCAACCCATTAGACAAACTGTAAAGAAAAAATTGTACGATTAAAATTTTTTATTTACATTCGCGTCATGTGTAGTTCATATAAATCTTTTGACCTTCTAGTATAAACACACATAGGAATAAATAGTAATAGTGGAATAGGTTTACTGGAGATACCACGTAAAAAACGTGCCTATAATACTTTACCTCATAGGTGGTGCGGAAAAGATTATCAAAAAATTAAATTTAAACAAATATGATTGTTCAGGTAAATAAGTGGTTTGTGAAGTGATGAGAATCTAAATCTTGTCAGTTTTGTGTATTGATTAATTTATAAAATGACAGATTAATAAAAAATATTTCAATAATTTTTTGGAAGAACTTATTTTAGTAGAATGTATAATATTATAAAAATTTGTATATTTTTAAATCAAATTATGTCAGCAATGAAAGAGGTCGACTTGTAAAAGAGTTTCAACAATGTAGATCAGCTAATAAGAGTATTTATGAGTTTTATGATCTAAAGTACCTGAACTGATTACCTGAAAGGGTCGGTCGGCAAGGCTCACAAAGTCATAAAAATTCTTTGTCCATTGTCCCTAAAACGGGACAAGGTTTTGAAGAATTCCTTCGTCGAATTTTGATTTTATAAAGACGTTTATAAAGTGATGATGGTTTCCAAAAAAATTAGACAGTGATTTAATATTTAGTTTTATTAAATTTATTTCATCTAATGAAAAAATAATGCTCAACTACCGTATTTACTATGCAGTACATCAGATGTTTGCGGCGTGCATTCGGACTTTCCCTTTTTTTGGTATTTATGTTTATTGCACTTCACAGTGAAGCATTCCAATATTTCCAGTTGGTTCTCAACCACCGAAACTTCCTTGTGTATCGGTTACTCAGTTCATTTTTAATGCAGTTTTGTGAAAATTCTGCCATTCAGTGTGGGTTGTACTTATTTACACTAGGTAAGTTAATATGTAACAAAGTAATCATTTTAATTTTTACGTGTTTCTGTTATTTTTGATAACTGTACGTAGACAGCAAAAGCAGTTTTTTCAGATAAGCTGGAAAGACCACCATTAATCACTGAAGATACTCCCACTGATTATGAAGAACTTACGGTGATTATTTTTGAAAATGAGGCGCCATAAAATATTGCAAAGGTATGTTACTGCAATTTTTTATGAACTAATGCTAATGAACATAATTTTTTTCTAGATTTGAAACAAATACAAAAGACATGTGCGAAATGAAAAAAAGGCTAAAGGAAACGAGTGAAAAAATCTCCAACATGGAAACGTCATCAAATCTGACAACTGAAAAAGAAAACAAAAATAGAAGTTATGCCGCCAAAACCACACCTAAACAAATTTTGACGAATTATAAGATTATCTTTGCCTATTAGAACAAGCAGATTTCTTTGCAAGTTAAAAAAATGCAATGAATTCATATATGTATACATATAACATAATATTAGATATTATATACAGGTAGATGCCTGTAATACTACGATACTTTTTGGTAACTTCTAGTTTTTTTATATTTTTTGTAAATAGATTTGTTTGTGTTTTTAAGACTGATTTATAGTTTATTATAGTTTTCTTTCAATATTCTTTGTAACTAAAAAGATTACTTTGTTTTTAATACTGATTTTTCTTTGAATAGCATATTTTATTGCAACGTTTATTTTTGATTATATATTGTATATTATCCTTTTTTTTTGTTTATACTAATTATACTCATAATTACCTGAATGTAGATTTGTTTGTGTTCTTAGGAGTGGTTTATCTTTAATTTGTTTAATTGACATATGTATACTTTTTTATTTATTTACTGAAGTTCATTGTTGGTTGTACAGAATTGTAGTAAATTTAATTTTTTTACACTAATTTGTTTTAACTTTAATTAATATATATTTTGTTTTGGGGTTTACGTGGTGATTATAACGAATTATAATATTTTATTTAAGGTAAACAATATAAAAATATAAAATTATTTCAGCGTTTTATTTATTGCATATTTTTTTCTAAAAATCAAAATATAAAAAACGTCTTAAAATGGACAATAAATGCCGTCTCTAAGACGTCAGTACATCACGTCAATAGTTCGTTAGAAAATGATGTCATCTGGACGAGACATTTGACAGTCATTGGTACGTCAATATTACGTGATATCTTTGGTCACTATGACGCAATTGATGACCATTTATTCACGTGAAAAAGACGACATCATGTTGCCTGGGTCCCTGCTGTGTAAAACTCAACCATTTATTGAAACCGATCTTTTGTAAATAGGGTTGCCTAGTTTCACTTTATTTTCATTATTCAGTATTTTTTTAAAAAGCAAATATTTTGATAAATATAAATTTTAAACAAAAATGACCGGGTCTTCCCCATAGAGTTCAATGTTGTCTTTGCACTGCTATATAAGTTGAAGCGAAAAATGCTCTCTCCTTGTCTAAAAATGCAATTTCCTTCGAAGAATGAACGATTAATTAAACTCTAAACAATCACTTATTTTAAAAAAATATTTTGTCTTCCCCAGAGATTTAGACATAATCTATCAATTGAAATGTCGATCTTTTTTTCAAAGTTGAAATTACGCCCGTACAATGAAATTTTATTTAGCTCATTTTTCGGTCTGCTACTGGGCACCCTTAAAATGTCACGGTTTTGTTGAACAGATAATAATTTACTACACTGCTCTAAGTATGATTGGATTTCAGATTTATTACCCTTCAGGATTATATTTAAGGGTGTATAAGTAGTGAAGGCTACAGTGCAGAAAATTATGGTAGGTATTTTATTTAAAATATGAGGGTTTCCGTGAACAGGTTTAGTATTAGTGGACTTCTTATCTCCATCTTTGTCTGTGTAACCGTTATACTAAATATGCAAAGCACTTTAACCTCCATGCATTTTATATACATTTTTTTTTATTTGTAAAAAGTAACCAATTTGGCTATAGCTAGCCACGTCTGGACTAGAATAACTCCCTAAACGCTCTTCCTGAAAATAATTTTCTTTGCAGTTGCGCGACTGGCCTACAATTTTTTTTAATTAACAAATATTTAAAAACTTTAATAAAAAAAATCACAGATAACATGTTCACTATTCTATCATTAACTCTTCACGCTTGAATCGGGAAACATATTTTTCATTTCATTTCAACGTAGCATTCAGTCTATGGAATGGTTATAGACTCTTCATAAATAATAATACAAAAAAAAAAAAAAAATCTACATGTGACTCGTTTCAAGTCACTGAAAACGGATGGGTAATTTTTTCAAACCCCAAACACAAGACATTTTGATAAAAACATTTTATTCAGTGTTACCTACCAGTAAACATATTAAAATTGCAATTAATTCTTTAATATTGTATAAGTACATCAAAATCACATTAGTCGCCTTTTATAGGCATATAAGTTATCATGGTCATAGTATGCATGAATTAAATCATACATATGTTTAAAAAAGTACAATAAATTGTCATACTGTCCATTGTAAGAATTTGCTTCATTTCGGTGCAAATTCTCACACTCATTTAAAACATTCTCTGTAAAACAATTATAAATGCCTTTGTATTGAGGGTTCAACCCCCACGAATGCAAGTGTAGTTCTATTAAAAACTGATGAATTGCCTCGATGGTTGCCAAGTACCACCTAGGACTACCCTTTTGATGCCTCCAAAACTGTGATATCCTATTCTGTATTACAACACACGGAATTTTCCTTATTCTATCGTCTTTATAGATGCCTTTACTCTGATTCCAAGTACTATCAATAAAAATTGCTTTACTTATTGGTAAATTATTGGAGTTATTTACAGTTATTGCCTTATTACACTTCAAAGCTGTTTTCATTAAAGTGCTTCTATTAACGCCTCTTGGCAGTTCTTCCAGTGTGAGATTATTGCTATTTATTATACTATCGTAGTTTTCTTTATCCACTAACTGACTAATACTGATCGCGTGTTGACTCGGAAATATTAACACCACATTTTCTGTACTATAATCTGGAATGTCTGGATATGTGTATATGGAAACATCATCACGTGCTAAAATTGCGGCGTGTCCAGCTGTACTTTTACCATCAATTTCGTGCTTGTGCTTGATTATGTCTATCTTTATCGGGAGCTAAAAAGAAAGGTTATGTAAGTATAGTTTTGGCAAACTGTGCCTTCTAAATCACCTTTACAACAGGGAGCACGCCTTCTAACTCAGATATTGGTACATAACACGTATAACAAAAGAATTTCCTGGATTTTCCACATTTGGGGCACGGGTGTCTTCCTTCTAATTTTCCTAAAATGGAGTTGTCATCGATATGAAAACCGTGAAAAGGGTCTCGGTCAATATACGATTGACGAGCTTCGATACTTTTTGGGTTTGCCATAAAATTTTAATATGTAATTGTTAGTACATATTCGAGGTTATGTAGTGTTTGTAATTGTTATCGTCAGTCAGTTTTCAGTGTCGCCAACATTCACGTTCAAGTCACCAAAGCGACAAATTTTAAAATCCTGCCCCAATTTCGTAAATACTTGTAAAATTCTACCTAGTTAATGGTTGTTAAACGTATGTTATGCAAAAATACAGCGTTGGACATAACAACAAATCAACAAATATTGTTATAAAATGTACTGTTAAAAAAATGAAATTATTAAGGGCAGCTTTTACTGACACGGTACCTATTAAGGGGACGGTTTCTGAAACGTTCATCTCCTTTTGTACCTATTTGCACGATCATGCGTCTGTCTTTTCAACAGAAACGCCTTAATTTGTGAAAATTATTTTAAAGATTTCAAGCATAATCTGATGATACCAACTGAAACAGTAATAATTGTTGATTTGCTGATCACGTTGTGTAAATATCGTTAATCGCATTTCATATTAATAAATAACCTCTTTTTTCACTGGGTATGTATGCAAGCGCAATTTTTAATTGTTTGTTACGTGTCTAAAGCACGGTTGTAGAATAGATAGGTTGATACACTAGCATACATTTGCATATCCCTGGTCAGCGACGCCAATTGTCGATCGCGTCGCCTGGTTTTTGACGTTTTAGGGACACAGAACTCTATAGGCATCTGTCTATACCCGATGTAATTAATAAAAGAAATCGTACTTATCGACTCCGATCAAATGTCATTTACAAATTTTGTATTGTTCATAAAGCAATGTAAACGAAAATCCCCAAAATAACTAGAATGATTTCCGCTCGACAAGGTAGAGGCGCTAGCTGTATGTGTCCTTTCCATGGATATAGGGATCGAAAAGAAGCGTCGCCATCCCAAGCCATTAGTGTACAAACCTATCTATTCTACAACCGTGGTCTAAAGTCGTGTCACGCACATACCATAAAAGACAGTTTAATCATAGATTAATATTGACATTGGAGACAAGCGCCAAATTTAACTAGTCGATACCAATAAAAAAACTTGCTTCACTACAACTCGTCGCCTGAGAACTTGTCTGATCTACAGACCAGAGCGCGCTCAGGCCAATGTCGACTCTAAGCGTTCAGAAGCGATTTGGTTGATTTGGACTATAATTTCTGCGGGAAATAGTTGTTTGGTCGGTTTTATAACGACTAAGTGAATAATTTTGGTACATATTTAGATGATTTTACATATTTTGTTTAACTAAGAATTAATTCTTTATTTGTGTTTTATACTAGCAAAACGTCTTAAACTAAGAATATTGTTGAAATCGTAATAACCCAATGGATTTTTTTCGGAAAAATGTTGTTCTGTTTTGTATGGATTTTTTAAATGTTTTTAGTGACAATGTTTGTATGATACTAACAGTGAGAAAAAAAATGAAAAATTAAAATAATCGAAAATTCGAAAAATCGGGACATCTAATTATCGAAAAATCAAAACCTTAAAATTGAAAAAATGTAAAATTCAAAAATATAAAATTTAAAAACCGAATAACGAAAAATTGAGAAATCGAAACTCCCAAATTTAAAAAATCGGACAACTTAAAAATCGAAACATCGAAAAACTGGAAAATGGAAGAACCAAGAAATCGAAAAATCAAAAGATCAGAAATCGTGGAGTCGAAAAGTCGAACAACTGAGAAACCGAAATCGGCCAAAATTGAATAATCGAAAAGTTAAAAATTGAACAATTTATAAATTGAGAAATTGACAATCAAAATATCGAAAAATCCAAATCTCGATAAATCGAGAAATCAAAAAACTTAAAAATTTGAAAAATTGAAAAATTGAGAGATTGAAAGATCAAAAGAACGAGAAATCGAAAAGTAATGAAGTCGAAAAATAGAGAAATCGACAAACAAAAAGATTGAAAAATCTAAAATTTAAAAATCCAAAAATTGAAAAATCGGAAAAGTAAAAAGGTAGACACATCGAAAAATCAAGAAGTCAAAAATAGAAAAGCCGAAGAATTGAAATATTGAAAAATCCTAAAACTGAAATATCTAAAATCTGAAAAATCGAAAGATCAAAAAAGTGAAATCGAAAAATAGAAACCTTAAAAAATCGAAAAATCAAAAACCTGAAAAATCAAAAATTAAAGAACTGAAGAACAGGAAAATCGAAACACACGCAGGTCAAGAAATGGGAAAATCAAAACATCGATTAATTGAAAAATCGAAAAATTGAGAGTTTATGAAAGTCAAATATCCAAAATATGATGAGTCTACACTTGTGGTTTATCATTCCATTCATATTTTTTGGATTTGCTCATACAGGGTGACTCAAAAAAATTAATGAATTAGTTAATTTATTTTATTGAATAAATCAAAAATTGCACAACTAAATCCTTGAAAATCTTGCAGACGTTTTTATTGTTGGTATGCTAAATTGTTAATCAAAATGTATCTGTTTATTCCCTCCAAAAAATTGATGACGTCATCTCAAAATTTTGCCGAATAAATTCTTCCTAAAATATACTAAATATAACGAGTTTTTACTTGTGATTAACACTGCAAGGGAAGTTCTGTTGAAACAACTTTCGACCAATTTTTTCTAGTTTTATGAGCAAGCAGTAGCCCCGCCCACCCACCCCTTCTTCATTCCAGTGACCACTTCTAATATTGTTCAGTCGTATTTTAGCAAGTTCTAGTTAATTATTTTGTTATACCACTTATCTGCTATAACATTTATTTCTTATTTCTGAAGACAAAATGAGCGAACGGGTGGGTGGGCGGGGCTAAGTTTAATTTTTTCCCACAGAATTTTTATGAACAAGCAATAGCCCCGCCCGCCCGCCCCCTCTTTTTCCCAGTGACTACTCTTAATATTGTTCAATCCTGTTTTGGCAAGTTCTAGTTAATTATTTTGTTATACTACTTATCTGCTATAACATTTATTTCTTATTTCTGAAGACAAAATGAGAGAACGGGTGGGTGGGTGGGGCTAAGTTTAATTTTTTCCCACAGAATCTTTTATAATCAACCAATAGCCCCGCCCACATACCCCTTCTTCAATCCGGTGACTACTCTCAACATTGTTCAGTCTTATTTTAGCAAATTTTACTTAATTATTTTGTTATACTACTTATCTGCTATAACATTTATTTCTTATTTCTGAAGACAAAATGAGAGAACGGGTGGGTGGGCGGGGCTAAATTTAACTTTTTCCTGCAGAATCTTTTATGAGCAAGCAATAGCTGTTTTTCAAATGACAATTGAAAAACAGCAGATCTAAAACCGGGAAGTCGAAAAATCAAAAGATTAAGAAATCGAAACATTTGAAAAATTCGAAAACTTGAAAAATTCAAACATCGAAGAACTGAACTGAAATATCGAGAATTCGAAAAATCTAAAATTTTAAAAATTAAAGAATCTAAAACTTAAAAATCGAAAAATTGAAAAATCGAAAAAGTAAAATATTCGACACATCGAAAAATCCAGAAGTCAAAAATCGAAAAGTCGAAGAACAGAAATATTGAAAAATCTCAAAACTGAAATATGGAAAAACTGAAAAATGCAAGAAAAACTGACGAATCGAAAAACTGAAAAATCCGAGAACTGAAATATCCAAAAACTGAGAACCCAAAGAATCGAAAAATTGAGAAATCGAAAAATAAAAAAAGTGAAGTCGAAATATCGAAACCTTAAAAAAATCGAAAACTTGAAAAATCAAAAACCTGGAAAATCGTAAGGCCGAAAAATTGAATAATAAGTAAACTAAAAAATCCCAAAACTAAAATGTCCAAAAACTGAGAAATTAAAAAATTGAAAAATTAAGAAATCGAAAAATCAAAAAAGTGAAGTTGAAAAATTGAAACCTGAAAAATCAATCAGCTGAAAAATCGACAAATAATGGGTTTATAAAAGTCAAAAATTGAAAAATCGATAATTTAAAAATCGTAAAAATCGTTTCCGAACGCTTAGAGTCGAAATTGGCCTGAGTGCGCTCTGGTCTGTAGATCAAACAAGTTCTCAGACGACGAACTGTAATTCGTGTGACCTGAATTAAAGTGAAGGAAACAGTAAGCAGCTTGTAGTTACTATTCTGGTAAATCCAGTGTCAATTTGTCGAAAGTAAAACGCGTCGTTAAAAATATTATGACATTTTTTCTATTGTATTTAATTTTATTCCTAGTGAGAAACAAACACTGTTGCCAACATTAGCCGAGGAGTCCTCAACCGTCATTTAATTTAAACTATGACGCTTCTCTATGTTCTCTGGTTTAATCGTTTCCATGACATCTGATGCTCATGAAGAGAACTAAAATACATGATTCTGAAACTTTAAAATGTCTTGCAGTTGAAATTAAGTAATAAATGCTGAAATGGTAATCTGTTACCTAAAAATGACAAAAAATTAAAACTGAGCACTTTTGGAAAACCAATATTTCAATTTTAAATAGTAATTATTTGTCTTCTGTGGTGGAAGTGTACGTCATCATATTAACAGAAATAAAAAGGTCAGAACTAATATTGAATAAAAAATTCATTTAGTCAAGTCAGGTTAGGTCAGGTCAGCTCATATTTTTAGAACACACATAAACGTGCCTTCGTAATAAAACTTTTTTTCTGATATTCTTGGTACTTCCCGAGATTGAGCTAGGAGTCAATTTGAAAATTGTTGAATTCATGTTTTCGTGACGTTTCATAACTCCCAGAGTGTGAACAAGTAGGTACTTTGTCATTTCTGATTGTTGTAGATGGTAAAACTCTAACCACCAATGTTTGATGCGCCACCAACAATTTGATCACGTCATCTCAAAATTTTGCAGAGCGAAATCTTGTTTCTGTACTTGTGACTCATTAATTTCACCTTGTTTTACACCTTACAGGTTTAAATTTTTGATAAACGAAATAAAAATCATAAAACAACATTTTGTAAATCAATTTATAAAATATGAAACCGACTGGTTTAAAATCTTGTAAACTTTTTACGGTTATTAAGGTTATTATAAACATGATCAATCGCTCATTAAAAATGTTTTATTCAATTTAAGAACTTAATGGAGAAATGAGATCACCTCAAAATTGTGCTGAATAAATCCTATCTAAAATGTAA